TTCCTTTTTTTTTATATCCTTTATAAGATTATTTATATATCCTTTTAAATATTTAAATAAATATAATATTAATTTCCTTATATTTAATAATAAATTTATTACCATTTATAAATATATATATATATATTAAATATACCCTACTTTCTTTTCCCTTTAAATTATCTTTAATATTAACCTTAACATTAATAAATATATTTTATATATTATTTTAATCCTTAAAGTAAACCTATATTTAACCTATTTTAATATTATATTTATTATTAATATCTTATTTATAATAAAAAATATATATTTAAAAAAAGTTCTCTATATAAGTAATATACCCTACATTACTTTAAATAAGGCCTTTTATATTATTAAAATATATTTATTTAACTTAATACTTATAGTTTCCTTTTTCTTATTTATTATTTTATTTATTAATTTTATTCTTCCTTTATATTATACTTTATATTTATAAAGGAATATTAATAATAAAATAATATTAATAACTTTTTATAATTCCATTATTAATAGTTTTTAAATAATTATTAAAATTATATATATATAGTTTATAATTTTTATTTCTTTAGCTACCTATTCTTTTATATATTTTTAAAACTTTAATTTCCTATTTAAAAATACTTTAAACTATTATAATATTAAAGTCTTTTAAGGTTTTAAAGGGTTTATAAAAGGGATTAGTTATATTTCTATACTATCTTTTAAATATATTATAGGGTTATTTTTTATCTTTCTTTTTATAAAATAGATTACTTTTATTTTTTTTAATATAAATATAATCTTATTCTTTTATTTATATTTAATAATCCTATTAATCTATTTTTCCGCTTCTTAGGTACTTTATTTTAAGGTTTTATTTATAGCTAGAACTTTAAGGTTATTTATATAGCCCTATTTATTAAAATCTCCTTTTATTAGTTTATATATATATAATATATATAATATTAATAATATTAATAAGCTTTATAAGGTTTTATATATAACTTTTTTTAAGTTTATTAATATATCTTTTAAAAATATAATAACTTTTCTTTTAGTTAAAAAGCTTTTAATTAATAAAATAGCTATATTAAGCTACCTTTATTTTTATATTCTATTTAATAGCCTATTTTATAATAATATATTAAATATACCCTATATATTTAATATTACTAATATAGCTACTTTATTATTAATTAATATTAATTTTATATTATAGATTAAGCTAACTATTAGGTTAATTATTAACTTTTTAAATATAGCTCCTATATATTATAAATAAATTAATCCTACCTAAAATATTATCCAAATTATTCTTTTTATTATAAATCATTTTAATCCCTTCCCTATATAAAATAATAAGATAATTAATCTTTATAACCTATAGGTTATAAAGTTTATTTTTCCTACCTTTAATAGTATAACTATGTTAACCTATTTTTATACCTTTAAAAAGGTATTATATTTTAAGCATTTTTTTAATAATACCTTATAATACTCCCCTATTATTAACTATATTATTATAAAATATTTAACTATTATATAATCTTCCCTTAATAATATAAATATAACTTTTATAATATATTTCTTTACTTTATTTATTATAACCTTAATATTTTAAAGTAACTTTAATACTTAAAATGCTTATACTTTAAATTTAAATTCCTTTTACTTTATTAATTTAAATATTTCTATAAATTTATTTAAATTAGCCTTTAATAGGTTATTATTTATATTAAATCGTTAAAGAATCCTTTTTATAAGGTATTCCACTTTTTTTTATTAACCTTTTATAATATTTTTACTATTTATAAAAGGTAATACCTTAATTATACTCCTTTATTAATACTAATTAATAACTTTTATAAAATCTTTATTAAACTTTATATTATTTATTCTTTCTTTCTAATATTCCACTTTTACTTTTTGTATTATTAAAAAGAACTATTGCTTTATAATATCTTCATCTTTTATATTTCAAGTTTCCCTAAATACTAACTATACTTTTATATAATTATATATTTATTAAAGAGTAATTTTACCCCTTTTACTTTTATTAATCCTAATAATATTTATATATATTAAGATAAGCTTTATTAATACTTTAATTATTTTTTTTACCTTATTAAATATATTTATAATATTAATATTTAATAATATATATAGCTTAATATTAATTATATTATATAGTTTTTTTAATTCTTTATTCTTAATATAAATTTTCCTTTATTTTTTTTAAGGTTTAATTAATTATTTTTATAAAAGGGTTATATTTAATAGTTTATAATTTAATAATATTTCTAATTCCTTTACTATTTAATTATTAATATAAAGTATATTTAAAAAAAGTAAGTTTATAATATATCCTACTTTATATATTAATTTATTTAATTTTCCTATAAAATATATACCTATTTTTGCTAACCACTTTAAAACCCTTTACCTTTTATAAAGGGTTATAATTCCTAGCTTTTAATTTAAATAATATATATTTAAGTTGCTTATTATTAAATAATTTTTTAAAAGCTTTAATACTATAATATAATTTATTATTACTTTTATATTTAACGCCTTATAATATATTAAAAATTTATATCTATTAATATCCAACTATATTAAATTTTAATAATATATAGGGTATTTTATTTTAACTTTTAATTCTTTTTATATTTAAATATATATTATAACCCTAAACTAATTTTATTTTTTAATATTTTAAATATTTATTAACCTATAGTTTTTATATTTTTAATAAATTTATATTTTCCTATTCTTTCTTTTATTTATTTATAATTTTATAATTATAATAATATTTATTTCTTCTTCCTAATATTTTTATAAAAATATAAAATAGTTATTTACTTTATACCTTATATTTTATATAATAATATAGATTATTTATATTATTACTATTTCCTTTAAATGGTTCCTAATTATAAATTAAAGTCCCCTTTAATAATCTTTACTTTACTTTTTAATTTATTTCTTTATCTTTTTTAAATAACTTTTATTACCTTTATTACTTTTTTATTAATTTTTATAAGTTTAATTATAATATATATTATAATTATTACTTTTTTTATATCTTTAATTTATAAAGGTAATATTAATATAATTAATTATTTAACTATTATAACTATTATTATTTCCTCTTTTATATTATTTTTTTCCTACTTTTCTTTTATTTTTTTATTCTTATTAATTATAAATATAGATTTTAAAGTAGTATTATTTATAAACAATTTTTCTATTAGTTAATTTATAAGGGTAGTTTTTTAAATAAGTTTTTAAGGGGTATATCCTTATAAATTAAGGTTTTATAATATAGGTTTTTAAAATATTAATAAGGCTTTTTTTTTATTTCTATTACCTTACTATTTTAATTAGCCTATTATAATAGTTTCTTTTTTTATTATTATTAATATTAATAATATATTTTTATTATTATATACTTTATTATTAATATATTAAATAGCCTTTATTTTAATTTATATTAATAAAATTATATTATTATTAACCTTTTTTAATTTATATAAATAGTTTTTATAATTAATAAAGTATAAACTATAATAATTTATATATTATTAAAGGCTTATATATATTCCATTAATTATTAATTTATATTATTTTATTAATATATTATAATTTTTATATAATACCTTTTAATTATAAAACTTAATTATATAATATCCTTAATATTTAAAGTTATATTATATAATATAAATTTAATATTATTTTTATTATAAAAGCTTATTAATTAAAAATAATTTAAATTACTATATTAATTATTTAAAAAAAACTATTTATATAACTTTTTCTATATATAAATTTACCCTATTATATAATATATATATATTTATTAAAATTACCCTTAATTATATTTTAATTTTTTTTATTATTATTATTTATATAATAAATATAAATATATTAATAATATAATTAATTATTATTATAAAGATTTATAATATTATATATATTATTTATTTTTTTAATAATTTTATAGTTTAAATTTATAAAATTAATTTAATTATTTTTATATTTTTTTCTTTTAAGATTTTATTTCTTATAATTAAATTTATAGCTTTAATTATTTAACCTATTTTTATTAATATTATATTTCAAATTATATTTTTTAAAAAACTTAAATATTATAAAAATAGTATTTTAATTATATAAATATTAGTTTAATTAAATATAAATGCTTTTTCGTTTAACCTTATAAATATATATATATCTTTTTAAGCTTTAATAATTATTATTAATATAGCATTATAATTTAATAATACTTATAAGGTTATTAACCTTATTAAATTTACTTTAAGTATAAATTTAATAAATAATTTAGCTCCACCTTTATTAACTACTTTAATATATAATATTATAAATATATAAAATATTAAAGCTATTAATATTTTTATTTTAATTTATATATTAATTAAATATAAAAGTATAATAATACTACTTTTAAATTATATATATACTATTATATTTAAATATTAACTTAAAATTTTAATATAATTTTAAACTATTTATTAATAATTTATTTTAATATTTCCTTTAAACAATTTAATAAATTTATTAAATATAATTATTAAATTAATAATTACCTTTTTATAGATCTTTATTTTATAATTAATTATTATATATTATTTAATAATTATCTTTTAAAGCAATATTTTATAATTATTATTTTTATCCTTTCTAGCTATTTTAAACTATAAGGGGTTTATTAATTATACCTTTATCCGCTTTAAAAGTTAAAGGTTAATACGTATAAATATATTAAATTCTATTACTCCTATATATATGTTATTAAATATTACGGTAGGTTATAACGGTGTTTTTAGGTCCTATATAATAAAAATCTGGTAATTTTCGCTAAGCAGACCCTTTTGGTATTTTATAGGTTTATAGCTGTTTTTAGCATCTGTTAAGGATTTTGGTGGTGCACCTACAATTGCACTAACATTTCCTTGCGCACGGATAATAAATAGAAGGAAAGGTGCACACCTTGTTCCAAAAAGAAGGCGGGGCAAATATTAAAGAGTGGCTGACGCCCACACCGGCCCTCATCCTGTGTTCATAACTTCCTGACACGGCGCTTGCTTCTTGCTTACTGCAATTATCATCAGCTTCGTGGTAGCGCACGGCCTGCCAGGATACTTCGCTTTAGGAGTCCCGTTTTCCCAACTGCACTTATCTCGGCGATGAGTTCAGACTTACTTAGCAGCGGCGGCTGGAACCCCCTAGGATGGGCATATCAGTGGCCTTTCGAGGTGCCGCTAGTTTCTACTACCATGTGTAGCTCAGCAGACCTAACTCTTCCCGAAATTCCGGGCTTGACCATACTCGCGGTAGAAGCCTTGGAAGAACGCAATTACACATATACGCCGGGACTCTTCGGAGCAGGGTTGCCGGATTCCCACCCAATCCCAGACCTTAGCTTTTGCAATGTCACCGTTACTTATACACATCCTGGCTGGCACGATAAGATTAATGTCAACGTTCTACTTCCCACGGAAAGCTGGAATGGCAGATTCGCAGCGATTGGCGGAGGCGTATTTGCAACTGGAGGAGGCGAGGTTGCTGAGCACTTGATGATGCCTATTATGGCTACAGGATTTGCAACTGCTACTACTGACGGTGGGCACTCATCAGACGTACTTGGCCCGGAAGGCAGTGAGCCTTCTTGGGCTCTGACTAGCCCTGGAAACGTCAATTGGCCTCTGCTTGTAGACTTCGCCTCTGTTGCGCTGCACGACACGGCTATCATTGGCAAAGCGGTTCAGGAGGCATTCTATGACACGGCTCCAGCGTACTCATACTTTTTTGGCGGCTCGACCGGCGGCAGACAAGGTCACATGCTTGCGCAGAGATATCCACAAGACTATGATGGCATTGTGGCTCTGTTTCCTGCCGTGAACTGGGTCAAATTCTTTTTCTCCAGCTTCTGGCCTACCTTCGTCATGGACCAGATGCGTACCTATCCTCAGCCTTGTGAGTTCGATGCTATTACCGCAGCTGTTATGTCAGCTTGTGACAAGCTTGACGGCTTAGAAGATGGTATCATCTCCAGACTAGATCTTTGTGACTTCGATCCCCGAGATGTTGTCGGAAAGAAAATCAAATGTAACGATGTGGAGGCTGTGGTATCTTCCGCGGCTGCAGAGGTAATTCAAAAAACCTGGGACGGGCCGCGAAGTTCCACAGGTGAGTTCCAGTGGTACGGATTCAGCAAAGGAACCGACTTGACGCAGCCACTCACTGGACCCATCCAAGTCAAGTGCGACAAAGAGGACTCCTGCAAAGCCGAGGCAAATCCTGTGTGGGCTCGGTACTGGGTCAAGAAAGACCCTTCATTCAATATGAGAGCGATAACACATCAAGAATGGGATGACCTGGTGCACGCTTCTATCAACGAATACGACTCCATTATCGGAACTTCAGACCCGGATTTGTCTGCTTTCAAGAGAAGGGGCGGGAAAATGGTCAACTGGCACGGGACTCTGGACGCTGCCATTCCCTTCAATGGGAGCACCGATTACTACGATCGTGTTTTGGAGGGCGATCCAGACGCTGCCGACTACTATCGGTTTTTTGTGGCTCCTGGGTCGGGTCATTGCTTCAATTGCGGTCCATCTTCGCCGCCTACTATGCAATACATTGTTGATTGGGTAGAGAAAGGCATAGCTCCTGACACACTGCGAGCCTCAGGGTTAAATGGGCTTGGTGTCCAAGTTGAAAGGAACCTCTGCATGTATCCCAAGGTTCAGCACTACGCGGGGGGAGATCCGACCGTGGCGTCATCCTTCATTTGCGTTTAGGGGGGAGGTTAAAGAGTGTTCTCGAGCATTGAAGCGCAGAATTATCTTTTTCGGTTGTTCGCCACCACAGATGGTCCATCAAGAATTCGCAGTCATGTCGCTCTTGATTCTTGTTAGATTGATTCATATGCTTGGTGATATGCTAACTTGTACGCACGTATTACACGCGCCAAATATGGTGAGCATTGCTCACCTATTATAGGTTATATCGTATCCAGACAATCAAGAGATAACTGGCGCGCTGTTGATTTTCAATTAACTAGGACATGTTTCCATCTCAGAATCTCGGCAGCTGTAGTGTCCAGCTAAGCGAGTAATCGTAGCCTTAATAGACGCTGGGGGCCTCAACTTGGTTGGTAGCTATTTACAGACGCAGCGTGATGATCTTTGAACAGCGGTAGGCACTGGAGGTTTCTGAGTACTTATATGTAACCCCTACTTGCTAGTTTGGTCATAGGCGAGGCGGTGCAAGAAAAAAAAAATGAGGGACTCTGCACTGAATACAGAGGTGTTGAGTCTCACATTTTTCTTACACCGCCTCACAATTAAGGGTAACAACTTGCCATTATTCCCAAGTCAATATGCGCAAGTACGCAACAGCAGTATACCTAAGCAGGCAAGTACTCCGTACATTCACCAGACAATTAAATCCGAGCCCCTCAGCATTTCCGTTTTCAAGGGCGACTTCAGTTGGAAAGTCCCAAGGATCCTTGTAGGCGGCTTTTCGTTACAAACGAGTCTAGGACTTGGTTCTCATTGGCTGTAGATCCTGGTCGAACTGGCTTGGCATTTTGTAACTGAAGCTGCTCTTAAAACGGAAATACTGAGGTGCATGGATCGAATTCACCTGACTGCTGACCAGGCTACCTCAGCCAGCCTCTTCATCCAAATAGCGATGGTTCATGTCACAGATAAGGCAGTGCCTTAACTCTCCAATGGCGATGACGTCTTTGTCGACAGCAGCGCGACCCGTACTAGGGAAGCAGTTACGAGATGCCATATCGGAGTTCTCAAACGTTCTGAACGAAAACCAACGTACAGAGCTGAATCAATTGGCGCCCGTTCCCGACACTGACGCTATCCTTGTCTTCACTGCGCAACTAGACTCTTCAAGTCGTGATCGGAAAGGGCGCAGCTTTGCTAGCAGACTTCACACAACTCTCCTAGCAGTCCGAAACTTCTGCACCGTTGTAGATGTGTTTGTATCGTCACACCCTGAGATTGCAGCTCTAGTATGGGGCAGCGTACGGCTAACTATGCTGGTTATCTCGAATTACGCGTCTTACTACGAGGCGACTTCCGATTTGTTCTTGAGAGTGGGCAGGCTATGTCCACTTTTTGATGAATATCTGGCCTTATATCAGCACTCAAGACGACTGCAGGAGAGATTGATAGACTTCCACACAGCAATTGTCCACTGCTGCAAACATGTAGTAGAGGCTGTGCGGCGCCCATGTATGAAACGACGCCATTCTTTTCTGAATGCGTATTTCTCTACCAGGAGAACTAACAAAATGATGAACAAGGGCAAGAGCAGATGTTACGCGCTTTCTGGAATTCTTTCGAACAAGAATTCAAGCCAGACATAGAAAGTATCCAGACATGCAGCGACTGGGTGAAAGAAGAAATAGCTCTTGCCCAGGCGCAAGCTGCTTTCTTAGAACGAGAAGAACAATCGAATAATCGATCCGCGACACAGAAACTCCTAGTACAAATTAATCAAAATGTGACCAAGACACGCCAGTCGCAAAGAAAGGTCATGGAGCGAAAGACACGTCAGTTTCCACAATCTTGTCAGTTACTATGCTAATATGCCGACTAGAGAAACGGAGGCAGCAGCTCCTGAGATCCCTTTCTACCTACGACCACCTAAGGCTGTTCAAACAAAGCTTACTGAAGCAATATGAAAAAACGACAGATTGGATCTTCGATACACCTGAATTCCAGCAGTGGCTCGTTGGAACTGTTCCTCTGCTTTGTTGCTTTGGAAAGAGTAAGTCGACAGTCTCACATACTTAGTATAATTCTAACAGCTGGTAGTTGGATCAGGTAAGACGGTTGCTACGTGAGTGCTCCTACCACTCTTGAGTACGGCTCCAGGTTAACTGCGAAATATAGAGCTAGTTTAGTCCGCCATATTCTCTCCAAAAAGGGTTCGGATTCCGTCGTATCATTTTTCTTCGTGGAATCAGGCAATCAAGAATCCCTTCGTGCTGACACTATAATACGATCCATTCTACGACAAAGACTAGTCTCACCTCAAATTCCTCGACAAGTCATGGAAGATCTTGAAAACCTCGACTCGTTCACTGGACTGGATAAGTTTGTTGATCTTCTACGAATTATGATGCCGCCCCCGACACCGTCCTATGTTGTCATTGATGGTCTTGATGAGTGCGAAAATCAAGATCGGTCCAGACTGTTAGTAGCTCTATCCCAGCTTATTGACTCAAGAGAAAACATCCGAATATTTCTTTCCAGTCGCGATAGCGTTCATGGGGAAATACGGAAGACTTTTAAAACTTATAAATCTTTTTCTATGGATTGTCCCTCTGGACATGATGCCATCTCGATATTTATCAATGACATTGTACGAAACAAGATCCAGAACGAAGAGCTCAGTATTGGGGATCCTTCGCTGGAGGAAGACATTAAACTAACACTTGCCCGTGGTGCTCAGGGAATGTAAGTTTTGTAACTCATTTTTGGTGTCCAATTATTTACTCGTGATTTCAGGTTCCTCTGGGTTACCTTTCAGCTGGACGAGATTTGTGCACAACATTGCGACAAAGATATTCGCGATACTCTTCAAGATCTTCCCAAGAGCTTAACGGAAATCTATTGTCGAGTACTTAGACGAATTATGTTCCGTGGGCATGGAAGGGCAGCGCAGAAAATCTTTTCTTGGCTTTCTGTTTCCAAGCAGTTGTTATCTCTGAGCCAACTGCGTGAAGCAATTGCTATCGAAATCGGCCAGAAGCACTCAAACCCCGAAACTCTCTATAACGATATGAAAAACATCACATCATGGTGCGAAAATCTTATTCAAGTTGACGAAGAATATCAACTAGTTCAATTTGCGCATTCGACAATTATGAAATTCTTCATCGAGGAACCTCTTGATTCCACGTTAATGGAATTTCATATTGATGTCTGCGAAGCTGATCATGATGTAGGCGAGAAGTGCATCACGTACCTTAACTTTAGCGACTTCCAAACGGCAGTTACTCAACGAGTCAAGCCTGTTTTCAAACCTATAGCCAAACCTATAGTTTTGCCTGATACCTCTCGGCTCGTCCAATCAGCACTAGGGTCATCGTCGAAGTCTGCCTCACTTTTGAGCAAGCTACGCCCTGGGCTCGCTTCGAGATCCGTTGACTTGAGCTCTTTCCAGAGCCTCACAGACAAGAACTCTACCAGCTACCAGAACCTTTCCCTTGCGTATCCATTCTTGGATTACGCATCAACCAACTGGATTTGGCACACAAGGAACTTCCAGAAGGAGAAATCAAGAACCTGGAGCCTATGGGAAAGAATGGTCATTGATGGTCATGACAGGGCTAAAGCTTTGTGGGAAGACAATAACTTCGACGCGAATGGTCACATTCTAGATTGGGCATATGATGCTCGGCATTACGCAATAATTCGTCTTATCAACAATTCCGGACAACTGACTCAATATCGAGCATCTCAAATCATTATCGACTCCATAGTGAATAATAACGACAAGATTCTAGAGATCCTTCTAAGCGGCCCCGAGCTATGTAGAAGGATTGATTACATCCTACGAAGAATAACCACGGTCGACTCTCCTTCAATACAAGAGTGCAACAACATGATTAGGCCGTTGCTTGCTACAAAAAAGGTTGATATCAATGCTAGAGACAATCATGCCTCGACACCGCTGTTGCGAGCAGCAGCCAGTGGGAATGAGCTTGTAGTCAGGTTTTTATTCGATATTGAAGGGGTTGACCTAGATGCAGAAGATTTTTTCAAACGGACACCACTTTTACACGCAGTAGCGAATGAGCATGTGATTATAGTCAAGTTGTTACTTGCTAAAGGAGTTGACCATAACGCAAGAGATGCTTACGGCGAGACATCGCTGCATCTCGCAGCAGCGCATGGGAATGAGGTTATAGCTCAGCTATTGCTTTCTACTAATGGTATTAAGCCTAATATGAAAGACAAAGAAGGGCGCTCATCTTTATCGCGCGCAGCAGAATTTGGCTACGAGGCCATAGTCAAATTGCTAATTGCCGACGTAAGAATTGAGCTCAATTCAAGAAACCAGGAAGGAATGACACCACTCATATGTGCGGCATGGTTCGGCCACAAAAAGATAGTTAAGTTGTTACTTTCAGACAAAAGAGTCGATCCCAACGCACGAGATAATAACGGCCGGACTGCGCTGTGGTGGGCTGCATCTCACGGAGAAAAGGAGATGGTTGAAATACTCCTTGCCATGGAGGGAGTCGATGCTTGCCTGGAAGATTTGTCGGGTACGACACCGGCAATAGCAGCAAATAAGGAGGGACACAAAGGTGTAGAAAAGCTATTCGAGAGGCGACCACGTCGGTTGGCCGTCGTTGCAGGCCGGGTTATCCGCGACCTTGCCTAAAAGCTGTAAATTAGATGAGTGGCCACCGCAGGTTGCGAGAGTGGCTGGCCCAAGTGTTCTCCTAAGAGCTAGCTAGTTAGGAGGAGCTTAAGTCTGAGGTAGACTCGTTGAGAGAGCCAGGGAGGGAAATGACCTAGCACAGTTGAATGAAATGATACTATCGGACGGAGAATATCAGTTTATAATCTACAACTTCTATAAATTGCATTCCTCCATAAACTCCTTCTTCTATGGATCCTCGTCCGCACAGCAAAGGAAGCTCATGCAGACATCCCCTGCAAACGCTGGCTCAGCGTATAATTAGATACAAAAACCTAGCGGACCAACAGCTTCAATGCTCAGGTCGTGTTTCCACAGATCTCTCCTTTAACGGTGCTGTGGCCGTAGCACTTTTTCCACCCACTCGCACAAACCTCTCCTCCTGACAGTGTTCCATTGCACTTGTCCGATATCTGGGACCAGGTATTTTCAATCTCGTTGGGCGCACAACCCTGTCTACCACCCAGGGAGCAGACCCATGCCATGGAACTACCATATCGGCTTAATATTAGGCCGGCATTCCATCTAATGTGCCTGGGGATTGTTTTCCCACTATCGCACCAATCGTTGAGAATCTTCGTTGCTCCCTCGTATTCTGGCTGGAGCTCGACTGAATTGTAGCAGATGTGCGTATCGGTGGGAAACGGGACCTTGCCGATTACATGACGCTCGGACAGGCCATTGAGAGGCCCACGACTATTGAGAGACTCATAAACGTCGAGGCGGTGAGGTTCTCCGTACGATGCTACCTCGTGGGTCGAGCCGGGTGTGAGCGGGATGTAATACAACCCGTCTCTAAGGTCTGGGTCAACGGCGTAGCTGTTGACGACCGATGCAACAGCAAGAGTAGATAGAATTGAAGATGTAAAATGCATAGTGGAGGTATTACGCCTGCGGCGATTGAATATCAAGATTGATTTTCGAGAATTTGGATCTGAAATTTGTTATATCATGAAGGTTGTGAAGAGAAAAGGCGAATGCTAAGCTCGTGGGGGAGGAGGTAGGTTTTGTATCCGCGTCCTGCCGTTAAAACCTGATTAATTTCATTCAAATAGGATTGGTGAATATGCGAAGTGTATTTATAATTCGGCTCCTTAGTGTCGGATCCATGAAGCTGAAGTTATTTCCTTTCAAGATTATATGGTTGGGTACGTCAACCAGCACACATGCCAGAATGAGGAATCTCTTCGCATCTGATTGTGCAACTCACATAATGATCTCAATAGTCCAGTTCATCGTGTCATACTGAAATCTTTGTTAACGCGTTAGAAATATTGTATTAATTCTCATTAAAAGGCTCGGACATGCTTCAACAACAGTCTACTATAAGATAGGATTATGTTTAGCTAAGCAAGAAATATGTGTACGCTAAGCCTAGTTCTTGGAACAGAGCTAAGTGAAGTCCGTATAAAGTCAATATTAGTGTAGCGTCGACGATGAGCCCTGCTGAACGAATTGAAATAATGGCCGAGGCCTGCGTCGTATTACATGCGCCCAAGGCCTGTGCAACGACCGACCGGTATCGGCGGCGCGGCTTTGCGGTCAAAATCAAGAATCCCATCAAGCAAGAACCTTGGCCACACTCGGTATTTGGTTTAGCATTTCTTTCGCTGTTCGCTATTGATATGCGATTAAAAATAGAGAGTAGTTTCGCCAAATGAAAGTCAGGAGCCAGTAGAGCCTTAACCGATGTTCCGATGCCCCATACGAAGTTCGAGACGGGACGTGAGGCTTGGCAACCGATGGTAAATTGATGGAGTGTGGAGGAGCTTGTATAGCATCTCATTGGCTCGCTCGCAAGAGCTTCATTACATATTTTGTTACTACATGGCATAAATTCAGTATTTGTGCTTCTTCTGAGCAGCTCCGTAATGAAGCAGACAGGTAGGCATATGGCCAAAATGCTCTCTGCCTGGCTTACCAATGATCTGATTCAATACCAGCCAATCAGATGATGCGAAATATGCGACTAGATCGGTCGAATCACCGACCGACCCGAACCTGGAGCTGCAGTTGGATGGACCATCCACGATCAAGACGAGCCAAGATATATTCCCGTCCCATAGTATTGACTTTGAAGAGGTCTTGGTTGCCAAAATACAACGTTTCGATTCTGTCCTACGGACTGTGCTCTGCTGAGCTTGACCTTAACTCAATTATCCTTTCGTCAGCAAACTTGGCCGCCCCTCGGAAATAAGCGGCTAGGCAGTCGATCCGGTCCGCCCGAGACAGAGAGGAGGGGAAGTAAGGATGAGCTGGCCTTACCAGTTCCTCGACCTCGACCAAGCGCAAAAACAAGCGCGTCGTCACGCCCTCGATCGCTATGGCTTGATCGCGCAGTTGTCTGCGCTGGTCCCGGTCGCGCTATTCCTGCTGTACCGTCTTGCAGCATGGGGAATAGCTAGGGCGACGGGTTCGGATGGCGGGAACTATGCCGCCGTTCCAAACTCGCCTGTCTTGAAGCGCCACCGGTTGAGTACTGTGGGATCGTGGAGGAGTCGCGCCCGCAAGCTTGCCTGGTGGTTTGGCGACGATGTAGTCTTGGGGTGGAACTGGGGGCCGCGAGACCAGATCATACTCGGGACTGCGTGGACTATCTGGCTGCTCATACTTTGCGTGGTCGGCACAGGAAAGGGTGAGATTTCAATGAAGAAGTTAATGACAGCAACAGACAGACACTGATTGTCATGGCAGACTATCTCCATCTCACGAAACGGTTTGGCATCGTCGCGGTGTCGCAGTTCCCCGTGCAGTACCTGCTGTCGCTGAAGTATCTCAACCCAATTGCACTGGCGCTCAGGTCTTCCCATGAGGAGGTCAACCGCTGGCATCGCGTTCTCGGCCGGGTCACCGGTATCTTCGTAACGCTGCATGCCTCTTTTTACTTCAATTTCTATTATCAGAATAACCTGCTCGGCCAAAAGATAACCTCTCTTGTTCCGGTGTTGGGTTTCATCTTGATCACAGCCATGTACCTCCTGTACGGGACAGCTCTCTCAGTTGTGCGACAGTATTCATATAGGCTATTCTTCATCACACATCTACTGGTCGCGCTTGCGCTCCCTCCAGTCATCTACTTCCATGCCCACCATGCATCGATTTACGTCTGGGAATCTCTAATCGTCTTCCTGTTAGACATCGCAACTCGCAGATTTGGTCTTATTACGGCCGACACGAAGGTCGAGTTGATTCCCGGCACAGATCTTATTAAACTCGTTGGCAGCATCCCAAGGGGCAAGATTACACGTTTTGCGAAGAACCCAGGCACACATATCTACCTGAGCATACCTTCAGCCTCCCGCCCGCACAGAAACCCTATTGCGGCTGCACACCTTGTCTTCGAATTCTCTTTCAACCCTTTCTCTGTTGCAGAAGTGGATGAGAACGCCGGGCAGTTGACGTTAGTTGCTCGTAGACACAATGGTCCTATGACGAGAGCCTTGACGAGCTTTGCGAGTCACCCAAGTAGTGATCACAACGTTAAGCTCTCCTTTGATGGACCTTACGGGTGTGCCATGCGTTTCCCCAACCTGGCAAGCTCCGCGTTTGACCGGATCCTTTTCGTCGCGGGGGGAGTAGGAGCAACATTCACGCTTCCACTTTATCGCTGGGTTTTGGCCGAAAACCCGGCAGCTCGGGTCCAGATGGTATGGGCAGTACGGGGTGCTGGTGATGCCACCTGGCCAGTAGGCGGGGAAGGGAAGGGTATCACAGATGATGACAATATTCAGCTCTTCCTTACAGGTGATATACTAGAGAACACAATCGATAATGCAAGGACAAGTAACGAGAGCGAAGACATCGAGATGGTTAGCTTATCCAACGAGGACGAGCAAACGAAGCATGCTCTACTTTATAGTGACAGGAGACCAAATCTACAGAAAATAGTGGATGGGTTCTTCAGACAGGGCGCTGAAGAGAGGGTTGCAGTGCTTGTCTGCGGACCGGATGCCATGGCGCGCGATCTACGATCTCACGTCGGAGCGTGGGTTAATAAAGGTAGAGATGTGTGGTGGCATAATGAGAGCTTTGCTTGGTAGACACGGAAAGCTCACTAACTGCTTATGTTTTTTCTTTGCTACCTGTTGCATGGCATAGCCATATACCGGTTCCCGTATCAGCGGCAATGATATATAAGTCTACATTGCCGGCTCAAGCATGTAATGGCGGGGTCTGTGAATGTTGTATCGTGCGGCTTTATCGCTGTCGGCGACAAACAGTTAGGCAACAGTCTCTTCGGAATGGAGTAAAAGCGCTGTCATCAGAGGCATTACTACTGTAAGCCCTCTTCAAATTGTCTTACATCATCTATCACTGCAGCGCATGGCATTCCACCACTTTCTATCCCTTTGATACCATCAGCGGAATGTTACTTTAGCATATCCTGTACGGCATCATTGAAAGACTAGATAAGACGCGCAAAGCCCTCATGGGTCACAGAGGCTTTATTTGGACCGATGAGGGGTGTCCACTCCCAGTAGGGGCGCTGCTTGCGGCTTTTGAATACCCAGGAGTATAAGTAAGCTCTTGGTTTATGTGGCATGACATGGTCTTATCCAAAACCAACAACACACCGTGAGATGATCAACGTTGCGCCCGCTAGGCTATTAGACTGATATTTCTACCGAAGCTATCACCAAAACGGTAACGAAATGGGGGTTTGGTTTTAGTAATGAGGTGCTAAGCGACAACTGTTTATACCGTGAAAGGCAAATCTAGTTCACTCGGCGGCTTGCGTTGATAAAATCTACCATCTACTAAGAAGCTATGGTGGAGAAGAGGCCCATACTCACCGAGGGGTTGCATTAGATCCCTAGCTAAGATGGTTGGCACACGTATTTCTGTCAACGAAGTCTTGCATTAGTGTAGCACACAGATGATTCTAACCCCCATGGCCCAGGCATATCCGTCGGATGATCATGATGTAGCCGTTGATAAGAACATACATCGTTTTGAGCTGTGGCTTCTTTTACACCTTGGCTTGTCGGTGAGGTGTCTATTTGTTACATGCTTAGCATCAGTTCCTATTCAAAAGTAGTATAGCGCCGGTGACCGAAGATGCAGGGAACCGCTTACATACTTACGTAGGATGAGCCTCAAACGCTTTACGCAAGGTTCGTCTTGGCTCCAACACGGCTTTGTCATCGCGAACTCACTACATACCTACTTCACCATTTTGAACTCTCTCAATTGCGCTACTGTGTCTTCTTGAATACTGTCTACATCGTGACTTCTAGTTTTCTGTTAATACCAATCTTCGTTATACCTGTAATCATTTGAAACAGTAACTTAATGACGATCATATCGCCGTGCAAAAGGGAAATGGATAAGATAGCCGCATCTTCTCGATCTACTACTGCAGGAAATAGATCCATCTGCCCACCGTCTTGATTCCAGATTAGCGCCGACCGTTTGTGAAGATCTGCTCACACTTTCCCCATATCATTAGGCGGCATGAGATTGTTAGCTAGCTTCCGAAGCGGGTTACTCAATTTCGGGTCTGTAGTGTCAGGATTGACTTAACCCCTCCAGAGTAGAGACTCAGGTAACTGTTAGCCTACATGTATAGTGTAAATAATGGGCATAATCACGTATATGTAGGCAAAGTTACGTGTGACTACCACTAACTAGTTTTAATTTTCGACTCGTAATCTTGAATTACTAACCCAAGAGCCAGATATCCATGAAAGGTACGTTGCAATCATAAAGTCCTCGTGCCGCGACGCACGAGTGCTTTGCTACCCTACACAGGTTGAGGTAAATTATCAAGAGCTGTGCTCTGTAAGCACCCCGAAACTGGTATATGGGATGAGTCATGTACAAGCACACTCGCCGGTCCCTGATACTCAGGGCTTGCTATCCACTTCTGGCAGGAGAAAGAAATGCATCCCACATAAGTACATTCAGAATATATATGATATCCATAAATATAGGGTGCTTATCTTTGGCAAGTTGCTTACTTGGGGCGTTAATCGGCAATCTGGCGGATCGTGTGTCAGACGGCAATGGCCGTCTCATACCAGATGGTCAGAGCTCATGAGCTCCAGAGAAATACATTGCGAACTCCAGAAACATATTTAAAGAGAGGTTTAGCCCCAGTACCTATTAAAGAAGTTTAAGTTGGTCTCGAGAAGTGGCTAGTTCTAACTTGATTCTTATTTTCTTGGATATCTTTAATCTCTTTACAATGGGTGCTAGCTTCTCCTCTCCTGAAGGGACTCAACATATTGGTAGGCCGAGACAAGAGCTCAGTGACCGCCTCACTATCACTGGTCTAGGTTCTGCATGGCCCGAACTCCTTGTTAGCACTCAGGATCTTCGAGAGTATGCTGAGAGCATCTATCCAGCAGACTCTCCATGGTTTGTTTCCTATGTTCTCTTAATCTTGATAAAGTAGTTAACATTTATACTCAGGTTACAGAAGCTTCTTACTGTGAACGCCCAGACTGGCGTGAAGACGCGGGCCGTCCTCGAATGCTGGAATGATCCCATGTGGCGAGGACCAGTTCCTCCCACCATCGAGCAGGTTCATGAGGCTTTTGATAAATACGCGCCTCCGTTGACTGCAGAAGCTGCTCGTAAAGCCCTCAAGGAAAGCAGTATTGAAGCATCAGCTATTACCCACATGGTCTCGGTAACGGCAACAAATTGCAAATGCCCTGGATACGATCATCTTGTTGCCAAGGAACTAGGGATCTCAGGAGATGCCGAGAGATCCCTCATTGCCGGGTCAGGGTGCGCAGGAGGACTAGCCGCTCTACGAGTCGCCAACAGCATGGCGTGCGCTTCCTCTCTTCGTGGTCGGCCAGCGCGTATTCTCGTCGTAGCATGTGAGCTCAGCAGCATTAACCTTCGCGCTGAACTTGAAGCCGCACACAAGTCTGGGAAACTTCGAATCGGCGCTGCCCTTTTCAGTGATGGTGCGGCAGCCGTTGTACTGTGTAACGACATCGCTCTAACCGAGAAAATGCCCCGTCTTTTTACCGTCGCCGACTGGTGCCAGAACGTGTCCTCCCAGACTTACGAGGAAGTCTCTGTCACAACTGTGTCCCAGGGTTTCTTAGTCTACCTATCAAGAAATCTCCCTAAGCATGCCGCTGCCGCTGTACACCGGCCCCTTCAACGACTCTTTGGCCATAAGGACCTGCCCTCGCCTACGAAATGCGACTGGGCCTTGCATGCGGGTGGTGCAGCTATCATCCAAGGTGTGGCAAAGGCCGTAGACATTCCTGACCATCAGCTCCGTGCAACAAGCGCCGTCTATAGTACCAGAGGAAATACAGCCAGCGTGACGGTGCTTGCCGTTCTTGACAAGTTACGGACGATGGGTCCCGGCACTGAAGACGTCGTTGTCTGCAGCTTTGGTCCGGGTTTAACTGTTGAAATGGCACGGCTTAAGAGGCACTGTTAAATATTGAAATTGGGGTTTTCTGTTCTCCTTTTCTTTATTTGTTTTTATTGCGGGCATTCATTTACTTAGAACGCATATAGAGAAAGCATTCAGACGTGGCTAGAATCTTATCAAGGTATTCTATAAGGTTATTCTATGCCAAGACTTCGATACTCGACGATAACGGGATATGTCGGGTGTTAGGAGAGATTAGAAATGTATATCAATAAAGGACGAGCGCTATATCGTCTCTTATCTTCAATCCATTAAGCCGAAGGGTGTGGTTCATGGGCCGAAAGAATTCTCACTACATAACTACATGACATGTCTATCATTCAAGAATGCATTACAAGGTACGCCATTATGCATAACAATTCATCAGAATAGTTGCGTGAGCGATATAGGCCAATTCTATTATAGATTGATTTTTATTCTATCGATTGACACCCTGAATTCTCCATCGCACCCTTGTTAAAGTAATATCTATGCAAAGTAAATTTTCGAAGGTGTATACAACGTGAGTGGGACCGTGTAGTAAGCCTGCAGCCCTTGAAGCGGTCAGGAGCCGATAGCCCGGGCAGCATAGCGCTATGCATCAGTATCTGTAGTGCAAGGGTATGAACGGTCCAAAGCTGTGTAACGTATAAGTATAGGATATTCGAAATCCCGGATAACGCCGCAGACGTGTGTGTGGGTTAAAGCTAGAATAAACCAGTGTATATACAGCAATAATCCCTATTGGCTTATAAAAATCGCCAATACTAAGATCTACAGGTCAAGAAGGTGATTATCATTAGCGCTCCGTTAGACTTTTTACGGACAGGTGTTTTTGATGAGAGATTTGGTGAGAATATTTTGAGTTGGACGGCAAAACGGCTCAAGACGGATCAACAACGAAGTTTCCAAGAAATGTATATAAAAGCCTTACTTAGCAGTTGTCATGGATAAAACGACGCCGTTAATCCCGTGCAAGATTAACGGCCCTTGTATGGCATACCCACTACTCCGCGACAGCAGTACTCACAGTCCCTAGAAAATCTCATCGAGCAAGCGATTTTCATCCTGGAGATTCGTGAATTTTAGTTTCAGTACAAGGATAACCTGCTAGACCGGGCCGTCCGAGTCCCCTCTTTCAAGACAGTAGTACTATTGTGACAAAAGAAAATCGTAGAGTTATCTCGAGTTATACTAACGGTAATGGAGTAGGTAGCAGAAAGGGAGATAGATAGAGGGAGTCATTTCATCTGCTGTGCACCTCCCCACCGGCAAGTCTCTATCAAACAAAGCGATAACCAAGAGTGTACGGCGGATAATACAGTTAAGCGTGCAAATCAGCTAGGTAAGCTTACTCATCTACCATAATCTGCCCATTGGCGAGAACGAAACATCGAACCATTTGAAGACCCTCTTGTAATGATAGATAATCGCTTCTTGGCTTGAGTAGTTGAGCCAATTAGGTACCGTAAGCACGTTTTCAGCGGAGCTGACGTCAGCGAAGATGGTAATTCTCTCATCTATGCCGGCATGCTTACGGGCACTACCCCTGACGCACCGTAGTTCTGGCCGTAGGGCAGAGTAGGGCTACGCCCGCCAAGCTAGCGGTAACAGTTATGATCGCCGCCAGGATACGTGGTGTATGATAGGCCAATTGGGATATGGAGAAGCCTCCAATTCACCTCTTCAGAGATACGTGTCTGTTTGAAGATCGGGAGATGGCGTCAATATCTTGTGAATCCATTTCTCAACCAATTTCCTAGATAGACGATAGACATTAGTGTATAAATTGGCAAGCAATTGGGCTGAATAACCGACTGAATAATCGACACAATTGGGGGAACAGTAGTCGCTGGCGAAGAATTTAGTGCCATAAGGACAATAATAGTGATTGATTTATCAGCGGCACTTCCGCTTAGGTAATTGACCAACTTTGTAATGGATCCTACCCAGAGAGCGAATATTGGTGGACAGCAACATCTACGTTTGTGGCAAGATAAATAAGTAATTTCGTATCAGACTTTAAGCTACCTAGCATTTAGGGTTAAGAGTCGTGCCACTTGTACCACTAATTATGGAATCACAACCCGTGCCATCAAGCGCTAGGGAATATTTCCATAGATGAACACTGTATTTCCCTATGAGCCTCTTCTGTGATTCAGTCAGTCATTCCGGATCCGCTGGATAATCCAGCTTCTGGGTTGTCGGAATGCCCCATTTCATAATGTCCCGGCCAACAAACTGGCCGTTACACGCGTACAAGCTGAATATGCAGTTCGCCTTACGCTTTGGCCATACGAAAGGCCAGTGCAGGTTATTCATGATATTAAAAGACATGCAGGTAATATTAGATAATAATGGAAAGCGAGGTTACAGAGACTTCGCTTCATGAAATAAGCCAACGAGACCTAGGTGGTCAGGGCTGGCAGACCAGTTGTATATAGAGTCGAGTTAAGCCACCAAGGCCAAGGAAATGGTTGGCCAAGGACTCATACAACTATAGTTGGTCATTTTATCGTGAATAGCATCAAGTTCCAACCCAGATCTCTGCCCTTGTTATACTCGCACTTTTGGCCTGATGAATTTTCGAGAGGCAACATTCAGAAATTGGACAGAGTGGCCCTTGGATAGATATGTCTGGGTAGAGCTCTATCAGTAGATGGAAGTATTGCTGAGCAGCTTTTCTTTTGCTATTATTGGCTGTTGCCTGCTTGAACTGGAATCTTCGAACACATATTCTGTGGAGTGCACGCCCAAAAGTCCAATACTGGTGCCATGAGATGGTATCTTCACTCCTAAAACGTAGCACCCAATTACATCTCGAATCTAGCATCGATGGCATCGTAATAAACTAAACTTCTATCTAGTCATCGACATCCATACTGGCTGGGGCTGAGCATCGTACCAGAGTCTTGACAGTTGAATTTGGACATCGATACCGAGGCCAACAACTAAGCACCCAAATCATAAATATCGTCTTCAAGACAACAGATAGGCCTCTATCATTGATCATAGTCGTAATAATCCTTCCATCTCAATCCAGGTTTATGTGGAGTTTCTCGCGGCTAACCTCCTACCGTAGATCCGCGATTCGAGTTATTAATGGCAAGCAGGACTCTCGAATCCTTATCGAAGCATCTTACCCAAGCTCATGAAATGCAAGTACCTTATATAGAAACCTCATCCAATCTATCCAAAGGTTGAGATACTAGTCTCGTCAGACCTAGTCTTGAAGGCACGAGTAATTCCGAGATAGTAAACTTACCAGTAATTCATAAATATGAAGAACCCTTCATCACACTCTTACTGATTAAATCGGCCTGTCACCAACGACGTCGCTGATGTGCCCAACTCCTCGACATATATGCCGCTCATAACAGATAATTAATGTCCATTTAGCCTATGCTGACGTCAGAATCCCCTCATCTCGATACTATATACCCCAGTATTCCCCGTAACATGGCCTTCGAACGGCGGAAGGGTATGGTTGAAAAAGAAACGCTGGATCATCAAAGATAATTCCCGTATGAGCTGAGATTTCATTTGTTCTGTTGCGAAGTTTTGTATAAGATTTTCGCTGTGTTCACTGTTATAATGAGTTCAACCTCAACTAGTGAGCAGAATGAGGGGCAGCATGCCCGACGTGATAGAAAGCTTCACATCGTGATAGTAAGTACCGATTTCTATATCAAGACGCAAACCTCATCTCACTTAAACCTTATGTTTAATAATTCAGGTGGGAGGATCACTAGGAGGCCTCGCAGCAGGCCTAGCATTAAAAGCGCTCGGACACGACACCACAATCCTCGAGCGCAACCCAAAGCCGCTCCTCCAGGACCAAGGGGCAGGAATCGTCGCGGGAGGTGATACCCTAGACTTCTTCGCTCGCTATAATCGCTGCGACAGACCCGTAGCGATACCTTCGCATGGACGGCAGTACCTCGACCGCGAAGGCAACATCGTGCACAGGGAGGAGGATGAGCAGAGCACGACATCCTGGGATTTAGCGTACTACCTCATGCGCGCCAACTACGACGGGTTAAAGAGCGCATACTGCGACGTCCCCAGTCCAGTCGCCGGACACGGGAAAGCCGTGCACATGCACGACCGGAACGTCACAAATATCGAAGAAGAGACCAGCGATAACGAGGCAGGAGGGATCCGAGTATTCTGGCGAAGCAGCCGCGACGAACGCGGCTCGCTGCACGCAGACATCGTCGTGGGCGCCGACGGACCGAGCTCCACGATCCGCAACATCGTGCAGCCGCACACGGAGCGGAAATACGCAGGATACTGCGCGCTACGCGGGACGCTCGTCGAAGGCGCCGCGAGCGAAGAAACGCGCGCCATCCTGCGCGAACGGCTCACTTTCTTCCACTGCCCGGGCGCGCAAGTCCTAACGTATCTCATCCCCGGGGCGAACGGCGCCGTCGAGTCCGGCAAGCGATACATCAATTTCGTGTACTACGCGAACTTCCCCGCGGGGTCGCCGGAGCTAGAGGAGATCATGACGGACCGCGAGGGGCGCCGGCGCGCGATCACGATGCCGCCGGGCATGATCAGCCCTTCGGCATGGGCGAAGCAGCGCGCTGTCGCGCGGGCGCGGCTGCCGCCGCAGTTCGCGGAGGTCGTGTGCGGGGCCGCGAAGCCGTTCGTGCAGGCCATCACGGACGTGCTCAGCCCGGAGCACGAGTACTGGGGCGGGAAGGTTGTGTTGCTCGGGGACGCGCTGGCGGGGTTCAGACCGCATACGGTGGCGTCGACGTCGCAGGCCGCGTTCGACGCGATGATCTTCGCTGACTATCTGGCTGGCAGGGTGAGCAGGGAGGAGTGGAAGAGGGAGACGCTTGGGTTCGCGCGGTGGATACATAGACGGGGCGTGGATATGGGCGAGCATAGCCAGTTCATGGATTTGCCCCTTGAGGACCACATTCATGATCGGAATGTCGCTTCGAGGCCGAGGCAGGAGGAGGTGTATCCGGAGTGGGCGACGAAGTTCTGAGAGTAGGCGATATGATAGGCGTGGTCACGTTGATGTTAAATTCCTAGTTGGAGGTCAGTGACTAGAGCGGCCACAGCACGGTTTGGATAGAGTCACTTTCTTATTGTAAGGTCAAGTCGAGGACCATCGTCTCCTTCTCGACTCTCATGATATATCCTAGTCATCGTGCTTTACAGCTCTCAGTAAAACCTTCCGTATAATGCTAGTTGCCGTTCAAATCCAAAAGACAGAAGGAGATACATACCCATACGAACTTCAGCCTTGATCCGAACACCCTATCCATTTCACACCGTCAAAGTCACAGCGAGGCATAGTGGCATTAATTTCACCGAGACGATATTTTGACAGCTAGTCTGAAAATTTACATGTTAGCCACGATCCAACAAATTAAATGCCCATTCATCTATTTGTCTCCAATACTATCCAGGCACTAGTAGGGTGAAAGAAGAAATATGTGAGGAGCTTGGGGCTAGATTTTCAGTAAGTTTAGCATTGACGAGGTACGAGCTTATTTATGTGGAGGTGTGTAAAACTACAATGACAGTATAATCTTTTCGAAATATCTGGCTCTCTTAGATTAATGGCTCTACTAGGTAGCTATGCTAGTAACCTGGTGGTGTCCAACATAATCTAAGATATTGCATCTCCACATCAACAGCACCCGTCTCAGCTTGCAGCTTAGGCTGCGTGAGGCTCCTTATCTATGTCCGCGAGCTCCTTGAGAACCGCAGCTTTCGTCGCGATTTTCTTCATTTGCGTATCTTCCAACTTTTCGCCGCCAGCGAGACGCATCTCAAGATCCTCGATCGCACGAATCTTCTTCTGGAGGCCTCGTAGCTTCTTTGAGGCGGGGTTTTGACTGCCAGGAGACAGTAGAGAGTCCGCGTTTGGCGCCTGCGCTGTATTCACCGGGTGCGGAGCTCCAGCATGCTGGCCGTTTTGTTGGGTATTGCTGCGATTGCGCCCGGGGTTGTTACCCCCATGAGCGTTGTGTCGCGATCGACTTCGGTGATGCCTCTGGTGGTTCTGCTGGTTACCACGACGCTCAGGGCTCCGTCCCTCATTTCCAGAGCTAAGACCATGCTCCTGAGTGGGAGGTGCCAAGCCACCGGTTCCCGTTGGACCATCACCTTCCTTAGTCTTCTTGTTATTCCGTTTCTTCTTATTCTTCAACGCGGTCTTGGACAGACCTTCATCACCTGCGGCTCCAGGTACTTGCGTCGACGCAGCACCGGGAACGATGCGCGAAGTTTGGTCGGTCAAGTCTGCGCCGGGGACCTGACGACGCGCCCTCCCAAATCCGTTTGGCCCGATGTTAGGGTTGCCGTTGCTCATTACGTGAGCCGCACCGCCCTCATCTTCACGTCGGAAATGAAGAGGCGTGGACATGCCTCGGGCACCAGGAGGCCGATACGCGCCAACTGGCTTGGATGGCGTCTTGACTGTGCCCAAGTATGCTAGACCAGAGGCGTGTGGGGTGGGAACCGGGTTCAAGGGGTCGCCACGAGGCAAGTTTTCAGGCGGGCATGGTCTCCACGATACATTATACAGCTCAACCATGTCCTCATGATACATGATCCCGCCGCCAACGTGCCACAGCTTCACGCCATTGTCAACGCGCAAGCGGGGAGATGTTGTCGCAGTCATGATGTAACGGCTGTCAGGGCTCCACTGACAAACGCTAGGATTACCACTTTCAATGGTGCAAATCTTCTTAAAATCCTTCTCCAAGTCATACACATCGATCTGACCAGCCAAGTTACCGAAACCAGCAACGAGGGCGAACCGACCGGTGGGAGAGAAAATGATGGTGTTGCGAGGCCCGAGGGGGAACGAGTGGGTGGCGACGGCCCGATGGTTAAAGATGGTAGTCTTTGCAGGCATATAACCGTAAATGACTCCAAACTCCTTTCCATTCGGTGACCAAGACACATCGTGGATGGGCCCCTCCTTGTCAAGAGTGATGCGAGCATCAAGAGAACCATTCGCACTGAGCAGGTAGAGTGTTGTCTCGCCATAGTAACTCTTGTTCGATTTATCCACGTCTGTTTGTGCCAGCACAATCAGACTCGTGCCCAGGCTGTTCCACTTCAGTTGCACCTTATCACCCTTGAAGAAAGTTTTCTGGGATATCGGCGCATTAAATTGTGGGACGTTGAAAACTTTGACTGCAGCTGGTTGACCCTAGAGTCAGAGTTAGCAGTAGTATTTACAGAAATTCAGTTTCACGAGCACGTTCAGAAAACGCAGGAGGCAATGAGGTAACATACCTTTCGTTCGGGAATGAAAACAGCAACGTTGTAGCTCTGTCCGGGGGCAATAGCAAAGTCTGTTACTCCTTCGGCCCGCAGTTTGTTCCAGACAGTTGTCAAATCGTCGCTACTGTAGAATTGAACTTCATTCGTCACTAGACGGGCACAGAACTTCTCGTCAGAAGTGTATTGGAGGTTCCATCCAGTTTGTGACTTCTGAACGAAGCGTCCCATCGGCTGCTTATCGCTGCCGTCCGTAGTTTCATCGGCAACGCGCCAGATCTTCAAGTTCTTTGTAGCATCCCCATTCTCATCTTTCGCGGGCCGTTCCCAAGTGCTTAGATACGTGCCGCGGGGAGAAAATGCGACTTCGTAAACATTGGCAACGATGAGGGTGGTGAGAATATGGCCAGCAGAAGCATCTACAACGCAGACACGTTCGTTGGTTGCCCAAGCGAAGAACCGACCGCAGGGCGAATACACGCAACACCTCAAATTCCCCTCGGGCTTGACAAACCCAGAGACGGGCGTGTAGACGGGGGCAGCGTCGGTGATGCCGATTTCCTTCTGGGTTCGATAGGCAAACTGCAACGGGGTCGCCATGACTAGTCAAAGTCACAGATACAACGTACGTTCGCAGTGTTGGGTTTCCTTCGTTTCTTGTCGTTGGATCGTCGTGTGGACGTAGCAAGACCTCTTAGATGTGAGGCGAGCGGTGATAGACGATAGTGGGTTCGATTCGGGAGCCTATTTCGGTTCTCGATGGATGATTGTTCGCCTGGACGGATCTCAAGGCAACTAAGTCTAGCCTGTCAGCTTTGTCCGACCGGGGAAATAAATTCAAGCCGTTATGTAGATATAGCAGGGGAACCGCTAACTGTGTCCCATAGCAACACGATAAGGGGATGCGTTCTACGCTGTAGAGATGACCAACAGGTTCGCAAACGCAGCGCAGTGTGATGATGCCGGATGTGGTACCAACGCTGTTCGACTGTTGGTTTCAGACAAACACGGGGCCGATACAACAGTGGCGATGCTAGAAGAACAACGGACAACAGACAACATACACCCAACACCAAACACCAGTGGCGGGGGAGGAACAGGATATGGGGCAGGGAACGGGATTGGAACGGAATCGGAGTCACACGGTACCTTATCACAACGGCAAGAAAGAATAGAAAAGGGAAATCGACAGGCCACCCAGACCAAGAGGGCGATTGACAGAGGATGGTGGTGGGTAGACCAGACGTGTCGTGACGGAGCGTGCGAGGGGAGGGGGGGGCTGAAGAAAGAAAAGAAAGAGAAAGGAGTGAAAGAAGTGTGATGTAGCGACCGTGTGTCATGGTCGGTAAGTTAAAATTTTTTTTTTTTGTCCCCTTCTTCGCCATAGCCCATGCCCTGTCGCGCCTGTTGCGGCCCCTGTCCGAGAATTTCTAGCGCATGTCGATGCCCGCCCAGTGAGCGCCGTACTCGCTCAGTAGCCCCAACGGCTGCTGGCAGGGCTTTCGCGCGTCAGATTGGGGGATTGTACATACCAGGTACTTTGCTGCCGATGTACTTACAGCAGATAGTGCCTACCGAGTACCTAGTTAGGTAGGTACACCTAAAGTACCTATCCAACCTTACGTAAATCAATCGTACTCTATTTGCCCCGCCGAATTTCAAAGTGGACAATAATTCTGCGTCACAAAAGATATTGTAGAGGCTCTTCTCAGCCTCAAATTCGTAGTCTAGGTATGTAGTTATTGGTTACCTACCTACGTACATGGCAAGTATTGATATTCGCTTCACAGCTTGGGGGCGCAGGGGGCGGCGCATTTGGGGCGAGTCTGGGCGAGCTCTGGGGGCGAGGTCATAGTAGGTACCTACCAGGCTGGGCTAGTGCACCCCCAATGGTGTGGCTTATCGGCATTTGTCGCCAGGGATCATGACAGAGATGCGCTCTACACTTTTCAAGGTTGCTTATTCGAACTTCATTTCATCAAGCTGGCCTCTATGTTGCAGAGTCAAGGATACCGAGGCGAGCGACGATACCAAGCGACCAAAGACACCGTCTCATGGCCCAAACCTATAAAATGGACCCCATAGTTCCTGCACTTTCGGTCTATTCTGGTCTATCTGCTCCTCTCTTTCGTTCTCGATCTTTCTAACATGACCAAGTATAGCGCCTTGGCACTCGGCACCGCCGACTCCTCCTACAGACGCGCGTTCCTAATGCTTTGAGGATTGAAGCAACCTGTTATTATATCAGAGTTAATAAACAACTTTTGAGTTCTTCAGAAAACTTTGGTTCAGCCCGGGAAACTTGAAACTGCATAATCCTGTGTTCTCTATAGACTTTGGGGGAAAGTGAACAAGCAAGATTTGCTTGCGTGTCACTTGCAATACCTAGGTACGTACTCATAAAATCATAATATATATGCGAAGAACGGGGAGGTATCTAAATCTGAAACGTATGTAGCTAAAGTAGATTTATGATATGACTACTCATGAATATATGCCACATGTTCAAGAATAGTGCTCCTACCTAGACGCCGCCCCAAGTTGCCGTTTGCGGCACGTCCCTCGGTTCTGCGTGCGTAGTCAGATCCCAACTCCATCGACAGCTCCTGCGGATGAAGTCTTGGCTCTTTATTGCTGTATGGGATTGAAGGTGCTGGGATATTACGTCAATTGATCTTTGGATGTTTCATATAGACGCTAGTAAGTCCGACTATCTTGTGAGACGTCTGGCCTAAAATTATTCATGCCTACATATGCATCAACGGAGTATCATCGAAACTCCTACTCCGCGTGCCTGAACAGCTCAACAAATAATTCAGTGGAAGTCTCAAGTTAGCTATGCAACTTGTGACAGTTGACAGTCCCAACTTGTGGGACGTGTCTTATTTTACTACTATGATCAGTTTAGATGGTCACCTTTCATTCGACAATTATTCGTGTAAGGGGCGGCTGTTCGAAACAAGGTTCATTATCCGAAGCCTCACTTGACTTTGAAACCTCTAAAATCATAGGTTCGTGTAGGCAGAAGGTGAGCACCAACCAAAGCCAAAAAAAAAAAAAAATCATATAGTTACCACTACTAAGGACCAAATCCAGCATGTTACACACTTCACTTGCTAGGTCGTGATTCATTTCATCACCATACTGAACGTTATATATTTGAACACAGATTAAATCAGCATTCGTCGTGATAACACTTGTCTTGGGGTAATAGGTAACCATCCTCGCCAACGTCCGGCGGGAACTCATGGAATATTTGCCACACCTATTCGTTGCACAAACGCTGCCCGCTAGTACCTACATATTCATGCGGCGACAACGGGCTGCTTCAAGCTCTAGGTGCCATAATATCATCTGAGGACGGCTCTAGAGAGTGTTCCTCTATCATTGCTAGAGGAACATTCAATACCGCGAATCCCATAGAAGATACCCTAAGGATAATGCCGGTATGCAACTGCATGTAGTTACGATGATTGTGGTGAGATGATCGACTGCTTTGAGGACTAACTTGGGAAAGCAGTCCCTTCTACAAGAGAGCTCGTGCTAGGTATGATTTCCTTGGGATTTGTTGCTACTTCCTATATGGAGCACCCTGAGGCCATTGCCACCTTCCGTAGGTCATAAACACGTCTTGTCGAGAGGTGGCGGCGAACCTGTACTTCAATCTTTACCCACGCCTGTCTTTCCCAGTTCACACATCCATCCATCGTGTTGTTTTTCTCTTCAGCCAATACCCATTCTTGCTCGTTCAACTAAACATAAAGGGTTACATATCACCATTAGGATTGGGCCTGGTAGCATTACTCCGTTCTTCTTAACGTACGCCCACGTTCATTCAACGCAATGGTATCACCAAAGAAGGTCTGGCCGTCTGCCTACGTGCAGCTTTTACCTACTCCTCACTGACTTGCATTCAGCGTCGTGTCGGGGACGACACACCGGACCGCTCTAGCAGCCCGCGCAAAAGACGTTCAATCACACAGCCGAGTCCTCGGAAAGGAAAAGTGACTGTAGAGGCACCCGAGTGCAGCTTAGACATCAATTCATGGGGAGTGTTGATCAAGAAGTGTTTGACGTATGTCTCGCTCCCGAAAAGCACACTGGTCGCAACTAAAAAAAAATCTTAGCAAGCGACCACATCCCACAATGTTCGAAGTACGAAAGCCCTGTTATCCTATCACACCATTAGCACGACAGCTTACTTTGGTAGATGTCCATGAATCTGTCATATTTTCGAAAGATCATCGCCAACGCCACAGGAGTTGTAACAATTCCAGTTGGTACGTGAAGACAATTCCACCCTGACTTGGCGAGGAACGCCTTCATTTTCTGACATGCCCCGAGAATTTTATGCGAACACTCCGGTGGTAGTGGCCCGGCTGTCTCAGGCTGCTGCCAAGGTGCTCGTGGGGATATCAGCTATCCGAAAGAACCGCAATGAATTTGAAAAGGCAGTCATCATTTTCTTTCCTCCGGAAAAGAAAGCAGAAGTTTGGGTCACTTCGTAGAGACCCTCTTAGGCACGCCACTTCTCGAGGCGGTTATGAGTATCACTGCTGGCGTGTATTGGCTATGCCTTGATGTTGGGCAGGCGAGATGGCTATGGGATATCGTCCCAAAGGTTCTGTTACCCACTATCCTCCGTGTAGGCTTGTCCCATGAGCCAAAGTAATAGGTGGAAGTAGAGTAACAGTGAGCAGCTTTTGTCTAGGCTTCTTTAGAATAAATATGATTTGTCATTTTCAATAGCACTGTTGTGGTTGTTAGCAAAAGGATCTTGACCGATCATAGCAATGATTTAGCCGAGCAGTAGACTATTTATCACGGGCACCGTTATGGATTTGAAAAGACCACATTTGATCAAGAAAGATGACTGACCTCTCAGTAGATGCAATGACGTCATCGATAAATGCTGGTAGTTCAGTCTAGATAATCGTGAGTATCGCATGCTTGTTAACTTTAATTCCTCTCAAAACCTCAGGTCGAAGAAACATCTTTCATAGGTTCTTTTATTCGTAATCCATTGCAGTGTAAATCCAGATGCAATGCATCGCTGAATGTTACTTCGTAAGTGTGTCAAATGAGCAGTCCGATGTCGGAGCAGCCCTCGACTTAAGCATGCGCCTTGCATACTGTTGGACGACGTGCTGAAACCGCTAGGTATTTAGGTTATGGTGATTCTATTTCTTGCAGAAACCTGGCAGAAGAGTAGCAAATTCATCAAGCCACTGGCCAGGCAGTTATACGGTAACTCCTACATCCATATAGTATGACTTTTGTGAGAGCTGCTCTGCTGCGATAGAATTACATTGGAGGGTGATGCTAACCGCTCGAGTGCCTAAAACCTGATGGCTATACAGAGAGGACAGAGGGCTACACTCGTGACCCAGGTATTGAAACAACTGCGCTACTCTGACACTGACATCAAGACGCTGACCGATAGATAACTTCTATTGACACGGCCAATCTACTTTCCTGAGCACTCAAGTGGCCATGATGCTTCTTCCCCCATCCATCGTGATCCGCGCTCTCATTACAACTCTCAAGACACGATGCGCCAGTTTCTTTGGTGTGACCTTAGAGCCTTGCTTCTCGAGTGAAACGATGGCACTAGGAGCAAATACTAATGCCTCGCCCGTGCGTAGCTCAACTATCTGCGAGAAGAGGTCAAGGATGGGATCATCCGATGATACCGCAATCCCGCGTAGACCATGACGATTGGCTTCGTCGTCGTCGTCGTCGTCGTCAATTCCCATATTGTCCAATTTGTTCGTCAATTTGGAAACTTTAGAGATGCCTGCTAGATGTTTTGTCAAGACATTAAGCCAGTCGGGCGAGCTGAAGCGATGCACGATCGTAATGCTGCATAGGTCTAGAAGCTTGGGGGAGATCGTGGGCTCTTGCGTGGAGATGATGATACGGGCGCCGAGATGACGCTGGAATCGGATCGCTGCGAGTAAGCTGTTTGTCAAGACCTCGCAGTCGGATGTGTCGCCCATGTATCGATGAGCTTCGTCTAACGCGATGATGCGTCCTAGAGAGTTTTCTTGGGCAAGGAATATAGACAAACATATGTTGAAAAGGGCACATGCCATCGAGGTGGTGACACATGGGCATGATAGATCAACGATAATGAGTTCTCCAGCCTTGAATTCGCTGATTAGTATGAAAAAGGGAATGTGTTAAGAGTACGAGAAGAGCACATCAAAGCTGATAACTTACTTTGGGCGTCCAGTCGGTCCCAGCATGTACGGCATATTGTGTAGAATTTCCCCAAGCGAGTGGCTTGACCTGCTCAGCGACCATGAAGCTCTGCAGCGTGTCGAGGCGTTGCCGCAGACCACGTTTCTGATCAGGGCTTAACGGCTCGTCTTCAAGTTTAGTGATAAATTCACGGTAGTTGAAACAGCCCGCTTTATCCTGCTGTCTGAGGCGCATATCTCTCAGTATCCTTTGAACTACTGATGCGTACAGCGGTTGCGTACGGTCGAATACCATGAGCTCCATCATGCGCCTCGTGTTGAGGTCGGACTGGTCTAGGCGCAGAGCTTCGACCGTGACGTTCTGGAGTTGGCCGTAGGACTCCTACATTGCATTAGAAGTTGAAACATAGAAGAGAGAGGACTGGAGTTACCTTGATTGCTCTGAGATTTGTAGGTGAGCATAGAACTCTCACGCTGATTCCAGGGTCGCTGCCTAAGTATGCGGCCTCACAGGGATTAACGCGCCAGTCCGACGCGTAATCGTCGTAATGAAAGACAATTCCTGTCAATGGATGAGGGAGACGCCCTAACTTGTCCGACTGTATCAAGCAATTCTCGAGAATGCAAGACAGACTGTGGCTCTTGCCTGATCCTTGGCTGCCACATATGAACACGCTGGCAGGCGTCGCAACATTATAGAAGATTCGAGGATCTTCAGGCGATGTCTCCTGGAGGCTGCGCACATCTCCGGCCAGTAGTCCATATTGCGAGAAAGCGGCTGTTGAAGTTGACACGCCTAAGTGCTGCGCGTGTTGCAAGACGGAGGGCGTGAATAAAGGGGCTGTGTTGATCTCGCCCAGTTCATCGATGCTTGTTTGTTGAATCAGTAAGCTTAACTGCTGATTCTTAATCTTATCCTGCTGCTCTTCGCAGTTGCAAGCATCATTGTCAGAAAGATCCGAGCTTGTGGAATCATCAAACTCAATTTGTCTAGGCATTTTGCTTGCCAATGAGAGAAGAGGTATGTTGGAGATGTAATTAAATGGTAGTGACTGAGATCGGATGGCCGGGTAGCCTGAGGTGAATGGCGTTCAATCAATATATACACGCTTGGAAATGTTGGCCATGGCACAAGGAAGAACGTAGAAGTAAATGGTCGTGGGCCGAAAGACCGTGTCGGTTCCGGATAATGCAATTCACAGCACAAGCTTCAGTTTTCACGGAATGGTGCATCTCAGTAATATCGGGAGTTTGCTGTTTATATATCGAAGACAAACAGTCAGGGAATGAAGATATTCGACCCATGTTTGCTGAGCAAGGGAGCGAGCAATACTGCAATATTGTACGCTGTACATTGGTTACTCAGTCGGCTCACTGTTGCGACCCTAGGATCATTAATTTATTACGAACAATTATTGTACAATGACTTGATATTCTATACAAACCCTTGTGCGAGAGCACCTATATGACAACTCACTATGTTTGAGTGAACAGATTACATCCCTGCAGCAGCAAGATGCCGAGGAGGTAGAAGAGAGCAAACGGAGGGCTACAAACGGAGGCTGCTTCGCTTGTAGTTCGTATCCCGCAAGCGCGCGAGCAACAATATTTGATGATCCAGGCTTTAAAGATTGCATGGGTATTGTTCGACATAAGGCGCAGCGTGCACTCGACTTACCTCGGTGATCTGACAGGGACGCTGTAGCCGCCCATTCTTCCCAGTCTATCACATGTGGTCAACCCGTTTGATTGCAGATTCTTGTGCGCTAATACGTACTTGAACAAGCAGATCACCCTGTGAATGGCAGTCCAATGGCTTCTATGTTCGACGCTTCTCTCAGATTTCCGAGTGAATGACTTAGATGTCTCTGTTCTGCCACTTCTGAACCAGTCCAGAACGATCTCGAAGTATACTGAAAGATACACAACGAGTAGCACTCGAGTAATTTCAAGACTCCAAAAATATTTGCCAACTAAACAAGAGAACCTATTACCTTGAGGACTAGTGCCGCTGTGCCATTCGAGCTCTTCGCCGCGACCATTGCAGCCGCGGCCACACAACGGCGCCCATCCCGCGTGCCACAGACAATGTCAATCACCTTGCCTAGGCCAATATCGCCAGCTATATATTAAGGTTGGAATGTAAATAATAGGAGACTTCAACCCGTCAGACATGGTGAGCTCTTTCATGAAGTAACGATCCAGAAGTGGGTGTTGGCAGCCACTCCGTGATAGGCGGAGCAATATCCCTTTTAGTTTCTTTTGGAGGCAGTGTCGTATAATCATAGCTTTTCTCTATATTAGTAAGCGGTCAGAGTGTTATGAACGGTAGTGTTCTGCTTCCATCACAAATGCACTACTCCTGGTTTGTCCCCTGGTCAAGATCTTGGAGCTGCTGCCAGCAAGATAGCTTTGGTGTAGGCGAAGGGCTGTTGCTGGTAGATGATATTAAGCTGTTGGTGTACGGGGTGCTCATGGTAGGACTGGCACTAGATGGTGTACTTGTTGATTGAGCAATGCTCTGCGGCGTGCTGAGAATAGGATAACTCTATGTAAGTGATACCTTTTCCCATGGGCCTGAATACGAAAACGTTAAAACGGGGGTTGAGCTATGAAACTTGTAAGATGAAGTAGAGCTGCTTCTCTTCATATGTCGGTGCATCTATCTACGAATCACTGGACTCCCTTGCTTCCTTAACAAGTTCCCACTGCCATTTGACCACACCTTAGCTAAATCTGCCACAATCCTCATTGCCTTGTCGCTAATTCTATCGTTATATTCATTATTAACACCCAACTCTTCTACAGGCTCAATAGGGTCGGAGAGAATAATCCGAGAGAAGCTCACACCTAAAGCTAAGGCAATAGTTTGGCATGATGGTGACTTTGTACCTATGCTGCAAGCTGCTACTCTCCCTGGTTCCTTGATGATCTCATTGGTTCGTATGTCCTTTTTAAAGCCATAAGTTGCAACAACTGAGCCTCTAGAATATAGTTTTTGTTGATCATCGTGATTGATTTGTGCTTTGTCTTAACTTTCGTAATTGAAGTATATGCCATCCTCGGCATGGTAAAGAATGGAACCTTCGGCGCCTCTAACACCTTCTTCTCTCCGGAACGGGGCCATATCTTGGCCAACGATCATTAAGTTATTTATGTAGATTTAAGAATCGATGAGATCAGCTAGGTAACTGGCGAATGTGATACAACGCGAAATGATTAAAGGAGCGACCCTTCTAAAGGGCTATGAATGTGTCTGTTCCCGGTGAAGCTATCACCGGCTCTTTCAAGTAAAAATAAATTCGGTTGTCTGAAATCAGAAGCAATTGATTCACCCACGGAATTCTTATTCATCATATACTACTCTAGAAACAAGACAAGGAAGGGCAGCTTATCTTCACCGATACCTAAACATCAACATCTGGGTGAACGAACAACCTTGCTTGGCGATGTATCTGGATTGGTTATCCAACCGTCAAGGACTTTAAAAAATCAATTTTCGATTTCCTTGACAAATTCCTGAATGATCTGAGCTGTGCCATCCGTACAGCTCAAATGAGGCGAATGGCCTGAGGGACATCGATACAATGTGAAATCCCCCGTCTTTTGAACCTGAAGGGCCACCATGCTCTCTTGATACTCTTTAGGCAATGCCTGATCACCCTCAAGTATTAGGTAGGCGCATGGTAACGCTTCATAAGCGTTGTTGGATAGCTTTGTTTTTAATACAGGAGATGCAGTAAGGGTGGCTAGCCATTTTTTGCTATTGTTGGTTCAAGATCGTTGAAAAAGAATTTCTCTGCGTTCTTTGGAGTAGCTAATCCTGCTTCTCCAAGCTTCTAGAATCGAACTTGTCAGTTGATAATAATAAGAAAATAATCAGAAAATCTGCTTTTCTTACGTGGAAATCCAGGAATGGAGGCACTGCAAAAGATCCATCATTCGGTTGGAAAAAACCGTGGATCGATTCACCCACTGGAATAACAAAAGCGCCAATATAGAGAATTCCAATGATTCCTCCAGCGAGACCTTGGTCTCTCCGTGTTGTTGCTTGCAACTCTGGCCGTGCTGCTTCGGTAGCAACCCAACCACCAGAAGAGTGCCCAATCATCAACACCCTTTTCCTCTGGTTCACCGACGGACCCAGGACACTCAGAATGGTTTCTGTATCTTCATGGCCCTGAGGATACCCCCCTTCAGGAGGTCCTCGGTCAAAGTCAGGATTATTGTCATCACCAACATTAAGCTTCTTGAGATCAGAGGTGGGCAACTGAGGGCAATGAGCATCAATGCCGATGGCCCTCAATGACTCCATCAGGGGTATATAAGGTGCTGGCGTGTGGTAGCAGCCATGGCAGAAAACAACAGCTACGTCTGATGCCGATGGAGACTCCATAGCAGTAGGTGCTGTTGAGGCTTGTTGATGTAATAGCTCAGAAAATCTCCCCCAAGCCCCCTTGGGCCGTGATGCCCCGCACATCTCACGCTTTACTGAAAAGGAGAGCAACAAGGCAACGTCAACCCAACAACTTCGGAGATGTATTGGGGGCGGGCTTAGGGTTGCCTCGAACAGGTCACCGCAGCCAACATGCATAAAAACCTTCTCCGACGTAGTGTCCGCAAATTGACATTCCTATTTGACAATGCAGTAAGGGGTTCTTATGCCACTTGCATACACATTCAACCCCACAGTCCAATATCCTGACTGTTGTTTCAGGGCGGCGTAGCGCCCTGAGGCTCTGGCATTGCCGGAATCGACGGCAATGTCCTCCATTCATCCTTGGCATACTAGACGGCGTTTCCTGAGAAGCCTGCTGATCTGTAAAGTGGAAAGTACTGTATAGTAAGGTGTCTGTTGGTATCTTACTGTCTGTTCTCCGACGTTGTTTTTCGAGCGCCAAGTTCCTGAAGCTTAGTCTAGGCTCTACCTAGCGGACTCATCCATGAAGAACGATGATATTGAAAAATAAAATGACCCTTAGATGAAACATGATGTTCGCTCACCGAACACATCAAAGTCGTCTGTGAGCCTCACTGCTACACGTACAGCCTCTGTGCTAGCTGAATATGCAGTTCGCCTTGCACTTCGGCCGTACGAAGGACCTTTGAAGGCTGTTCATGATCTTTCAAGACATGCAGGCAATATTGGACAATATTGGAAAGTGAGGTTATACAGACTTCGCTTCCTGAAACAGACCCCAGAGACCTAGGTGGTCTGGGCTGGTAGACCAGTTGTATATAGAGTCAAGTCAAGCCACCAACAGCCGAGAAGCAGTTGGTTGGTCAAGGACTAATGCAGCCCTAGTTGATTATTGTAATCAGAATCCTCAGTTCCAAGCCCAGTTCATCTGCCCTTGTTATACAAACAATGCCAGCTAAATATTATAAGCGGATTGCGGATCAAGTTGAGGCACATGTAGACCTAATTAGTGAGTCCAGTCCAGACCCTATCACAATCAACACCCTAATTTATTGCTTTGTGGTTGACTCCATGGGCGATTTTGGGGTTGGGCTAGACTTCGGCATGACGAAGAACAAGAAACTCACCGATGGCGCATTTTATATGCGATCTGCATTAACACTGTTTGGGCCGTTTGGCAAATAGTAGATAGGTCGACGATATGGGTAAGGGCTCAGTATTATTGATTTCTAGCCTTCCTAATACCATAAGAGCCTTATGCTTCCTTATATACCTGACTATTGAACCATCTCCACCCCTTTGGAGTGATTTCTGCCCTAGTGTTTCTTTGCCCCTGACATCGCGTGCGCGCGTGGCGCGGCGGCAGCCCTGAACTACGTCGACCTGAGCGTTGTTGAGGAGATGAAGACGTTTGAGGGCGAGAAGCTTGAGTACGCGTAGCGCCACGCGCGCTGGCATTGTATTTGCGTGCAAAGCCTTCAGGAAAGATGTGCCGCTGTCGAGGTGGTACGAGTACTTTGGTAACCTGCTTCCTGGTACCTGACGTGCATCACAACGAACAGCTTGCTCGCAGGGGGGCTGTTTATTCTCAAGAGTGTGACCTTGGTAGGACCACGGCGCTACCAGGCTCTACTTACGCCAAATAACCCCACCATAGCCTGCTTCTTCATACATGCAACATGCCCCCTTTTGACGCATTCAAATGTGATACGGAAGGATCGGCAGATCGACTAAGGCGGCCGCGGCGGCTCGCGCTCAGCTTCTGCGCATCAGCCGGGAGCCTTATCTGCATTGCACCCAACCGATACTCGCCCACCCTGCTACAGTGTACTTGTACAAGAATAATTCTAAAAAATCTTAGATAATCTCAGGTACGGCCAGTGACTGATTCATAAGCTTAAACCACTACATTCTAGCAGTCGCACAAAAGCAGACACCATCTATCACTAAACTTACCTTACTCCTCTAACTGCCACGCAGAAATGACACGCCTCGCCCCATATGCCGAATTGCATAGGCATCCCCAGGGACCAGGTGATGCCCGCCCGACAGCTATTCAGATTGTTGAAGATCAGCGTCTTGTCGCGAGCCCTGAATGGTCTGGAAGGTTAGCATCAACACCTCTTCTAGCCCGTGTGGGTGATATTCGGAAGTTTCATGTGAAGCCGCGGGTTCACTACAACTTTGGCCCACAACCGATTTCTGCATAATAGGGTAGCCTCAGCCTCCATTCTAGCGACTATAGATCCCCTACCTGCGTAGATTGATTTTCCGGCGGAAAAAGACGCCAGGTGACACCACGCAACGTCAGGCTGTAGCCTAGCCAACGCCGTGGGTCGGCAAGCCAGGCATAATGAAAGTTAGGACAGCGTGCTGAGACGATTTACATGGCAAACCGAGGATAGGAAATAAGGTACGCACGAGTTTCAAAAGCAATGCAAGGTTCCTAACATTCAGTAATACACAACAGGGTTATCGACTCCGCCACTCGATAGCCTGCAGCTACAGACATTCCTGAACAAGTAATACTTCTGCAGTTGGTGACATGCGCAGCTTGGCCTACGTTTTGGAGTTCCGGTGCGGCGCGTTGATGGAATTTGTCTGCTGCAACAAGTGCCTAACAATACTACGGAGTAGATCATAACTTTCTGGTTACACTCTAGGGGTACTGGCTCGTGCTATTGTAGTTGTATGGAAGGCATATTCGGAACGATGTGATAAATGTTTACAGTGTTCGCAAGATTGTGGACTTGAAAGGGCATAAAACGGGAACGATTTTCTCTCGCTTAGCCCACGGTGTGCCTCGCCAGCTCACGATGCGTCTTCCAAGCGTCTTATAGCCTTTTTGCGTCCTCGCAGTCGCCCACTCTTTTTGGGATGGCTCATCAAGTATATTCGTCGCCATACTGGCTGATTTTGGATTATCTCTATTGAGAGATAATTCTTCCTACAATGGAAGCCGTCTTGATTGCAAGCTGACAACCAAGATCTGAGCTGATGGCTTAAAGGGGTGACACCATGCTCTCTAATGGTTAAGGGGTAAAGTCTTGGTGACCGACATCCAACATGTACATAGTAATACACGTAATAGGAGGTTGCATTGATTATTATTGGTCTAATGAAGTTATAATTATATATAGATACTATCATCTAGGCAGTCTCTGGCGACTGCTACTGTGTCTTCAATAACTCTCGCCCCTTTCTCACTATTCGAGCATTCTCAATTATAGCGCCCTCTTCTCCCCCATCAATAGCAAGATACGTCATGAATGCACCTAGCTCTTCAATCCGAACGAGCCAATTCTCTCCTAGCATGGACGCAAGAGTACGCGAACCTATTATCGCCTCGGTCGCGACCCCTCCAGGTCGAACTACGGAAACCCTCCACCTGACGTCATTGCTATTTCCGAATTCGAGGACTTTGGCCTCACCTAAACCCTAGAGTAATCTTAGAACCAGAAGATTATGGGAATTTGAAGGCAGCTAGACTCATACCCTGATTTTACGTGCGTACTCCAGCCACCACAGCTTTGTGTCTTGGTCGTGGCGTGTGAACATTCCGCTGAGGTGAACGTATCCAAACCGAGGTCGTGACGGTCTTGATTGTAGCACACGATCCATGTCCCTCATGAATGCAAGAGGGTATTCCACATCCACCGCACGGCTACCCTTGTATGAGCCCATCGCCCTATAACGCCTCTGTCAGCTAATCGATTCCCAGTTGGCAGTTGAACATGATAGCCCCTTATAGTTTTGTCGACCTACCAGATCATGCCTGCAGCATCAGCATGCGCTTCCAAAAGATCCTCAGGCCACTGTGCGAAATCCGTAATCTTAGCACACTGTAGCTTTGGGTGGCTTGATACTTCGACGGGTAGGTCTCGTCGTACAAATGCGACAACGGTGGATATTTTAGGATGAGCGAGACATTGGGCTAGGCATTCGCCTCCAATAGATCCGCTCGCGCCAGCGATGAGCACCTTCATCTTCTTGAAATCAATACCGGTGATGATGATAGCAGCAAGAGAATTAAATGAGAAAAACAGAGAGGTTTCTTCAATAATGAAATTTGTATGAGAGCCTTTCCCGATTGCTCTTATGTTTCGCAGATTGTATGTGACGGCGGATCTGGACGGAACGCGGGAAGCTTTAGGTAGTGGAGTTTAGGGCAAATGCCGCCGTGATTAGGCGCCCCAGTCGGCGGACTTGGTAGTGCCGGGCGGCGCTTGCTTGCGGAGTTTTGACAACGCAAGCGCAACGTCCTTAGCCAACCAACACAGAGAAAAATCGTAGACATATATTTAGATATTATCTCGATTTGGCAAATACATCAGATGGAAACGAGTTTCAAAGCGAAAGTCGCTCGATTCGAGCGGATCCCATTGCTATATATTGCCTCTGCTGTAGGGGGCTTGCATTAATTACAATTAGGCCCCAGGTGCAGCGTGCTTGACTCTTCATGCAACAATAATCCTCGAAAATAATTACCAAACGCTGCCCAAATATCATACAATCATTCTCAAGTAAATAGCCGATGGGGCGACAGTTATGACTTATAAAGCGTAGCCCTCCGTGTTCACAGCCTATTCACCAGAGTCGGAACGGCGGCCTTCGTTTCCAGCTCGTGTGGCCCGGGGTCCGCATTCAACTCTGATGGCTGTGTGACATAGCTCTTATTAGGCGGTTTTGGAACCTGGGCAACATATTGCGGTGGTATTGATGGCTGTTGCTTTCGAGAACGCCTCCTAACTAGCCAGACAAGACTTGCGAGCAATACTAAAGCGCTAACACCAATCGCGACTCCTATGCCTATCCATGCGCCTGTAGACGGACTCTTAGAACTCGAGCCCGGTGCAGTATTTGAAGGTGGCGCTGGAATCGACAGTGTAGCTGTTTCGGTCGGGGCTAAACGCGAAACTGACGTATCGGTTGTCGAAGAAGGCGAGCCGACAATATCTGATGAGCGGAAGGCAACCCGTATTGAATGTGCGTTTATCCCTCTGTCTGATGTGACCTTAGTTGTGATGGTATCGCCGTTGCTATTAGTATCGAATACAGTGTACGTTTTTGTCTCCCCTGGCTGGTCTGCGAGACACTGCCAAGTCCCACCGTCGCAGACAAAATTGCTTGCAGTCAGTTAGCATCGCGCGAAGAAGGAAAAAAAACATAGCGATGCCAGGAGCAAGGCTCACCTTGGGCAGCATGCCCATACAGTTTCGCCCGGCTTTTTCTGCGAAGGGTCGGTGATGTCGCATGCGCTCGTATATCCTTCCGGGCATATAGCGGGTGATATCGTCGTGGCCAGATCTCGAGTCCCAGGCCAGCAACTTGGGTCAGACGGCTTGCCGACCACAACAGCCGCACCCCCTTCGGTTCCAACCGTCATCAACCATGTTTCGGTTACGCACGATGGTGCGAGGTCCAGAGTAGTCAACATGGCAAAGCGATGCTGAAGCAGTATACTACTTCTTCAGCTTTCAATGAGCGTTTCTCATGTGAGAAAGAGGTTTAGGAAGCATAGTCATCTGCTTTTCCTTGTAGGCACCAACTTAAAACGAGATTCTGAATCAGGCTAAGTGACGGGGCGTTGCATCAAATTGTGGATTTGGTGTCTAAGCATGTTACACCAAATCTCCTGATGATGAATGGCCGCATCTTGTAGAACACTAGGATTCGCTGATGTCAGATTTGTCCAAAACTTTACGTCGCCACTAACCTAGTAATCACCGGATGAGCCACTGTACTGGGTGCCACAGTTCTGCATGAAACATATAGGCATACAGAGTACGCCTACACCACGGACGATCAGGACTCAGTTATCCTAGCTCAATCAGAGAATCTGGTAGGGTCGGAAGCTGATAAAGAACTGAGAGAACAGGAGAAAACCAAATACGTAATTTGATCTCATTACACTTTTAACGAAGTCAAAATTAGATCAGCAATCCGAAATGCCAGGGCACTAAGGAAAGTCGTGATTACCCAGTGCTCACTCGAACTATACATATACACTCAAATCTATTCAGCTGTACGGAGTACAAGACGGGCTTACATATCTAATCCGGCGGGATGTCGCGACACTAATAGCGGCTGTCAGCCGAGTACGCGGCAACGCACATCCGAAACATTAACGAGGCACACTCAGGTACATATTCCGGCTCGGATGCTTAGATTCATTCAAGTAAGGTGTATGAACCTAGACAAGATTTATCGGGAACCTCCACCCTTATGACTACGTATTCCATATAGTAACTGTGAAACTCAATGGCTAGCCTACGCGGCTGAGCCCAATAGGTAGTATCTCCGTACTTTGAACTGCGGGCGAAATGCGTTGATTCCTACTATTATGCCAAGGGCGAATGGTCATTCAGGACACTTTCAGGGGTGAACAGCCCAGCTGAAAGAGCACGATGATCCTGAATTGCGCGCCTGTCTGCTGCAAAGTAAGCAAATCGCAAGGGTCCCGGGCCACCACGTCACGGGCCACCCCGCCACGCGCTTTTTACGCGAATTCGCGTATATAAATCCCTATACCCAACGCAATCAGTTTTTACCTTTTAACCTTCTTTTTATATTTAATTAAATTGCCTTTTTATATTAAATCTTATAATGCCTTTAATTTTCGAAGAAAAACATTATTAAGGCATTATTTATAATATTAAGCTTAGTTTAAATATTAAAACGGTAACGCATCTCCCACTTGACCTGGCCACCCAATTGACCTGGCCACCCTAATAACCTATATAAAACCCCATTATTTCAATCCTTAATAACTTGACGAATACTAACCGTACGATTTAATAATTAATACCTTTGAATCCGTTATTTAAAGGGGAATCCAACGGTATTTTTTACTAGTTTTTTAAAAATTTATTAAGCGAGATATTAAGCAATACGCTAAAGGAACGCTAAGCAAGGATTATTTTAACGCTTACTTTAGCGTATTGCTTAATAACTCCGCGAATAAAAATCGTAAAAATTTGTAAAGGATACCGTTGAATAGCCCTTCTTATTACGAATCTAATGGTATATCTTATTATTTTATACGATTAATATTCGTAAAGTTATCAAATTATCACGTGATTAACGCACCGACGTTTTTTGTATGGGCTAGGGGGGTGGCCAGGTCAATTGGGTGGCCAGGTCAAGTGGGAGATGCGTTAATATAAAAGTGGGATATTTTATAAATTATTTTATAATGCTATTTTAACGGAATTTTAACTTAAAAAGAAATAAATTAAAGCTTTTAATCTTTTTTACCTTATTTAAAATATTAATTAATATATTAAATAGTTAATTAAGTTAAATTAAACTATATATTATTATTAATTAAGTTTTAAACCTTTATAAATTTTATATTTAATAATATTAATATTATTAAAAAGGTTTTTTTATTATAGTATTAAAGCTTTATTTAATAAAATTTATTAATTAAAATTATTAAATCTTATATAATTAATTATTTAAAAGTTAATAGTATTATAATAATTGTTACAATTAAGGTTTTAGGGCATAGTTATATTAATACTATAAACGAAAATTTTAAGCTAAAGAAAAAAGAAAGGAAAGATAAAACTAAAATATATATATATATAGAGATATATTTAGGCTAATAACTATTATAGGTTATATAACTTTATTAATATAGGTTTTATATATCTTTATAATATCCCTTTATAATATATATAGTATTCCAATATAATATATATTTAATACGTTCGTTATATTTCCCTTTATTAAAATTAAAATATAGGTGTAAAATAGGTTAAGGAATTATTTATAGCATTTAGGTTTAATTACAATGCTATTTTATATAGTAATATTATTATTAGGGTAGTCGGTAGTAAATTTATTAACTATTATAGCTTTTATCTATTTACTTAGCTATTTAAGCAATCCTAATACGTTAAGTTATTTTTTATAAAACTTTTATATTTTAATTAATAAATTTTTAAAATTCTTTATTAAATATTAAATATTATTAAAGTTATAACCTTTTTAAGCAATTTAATATTATAATATCTTATTATGCTTTATTACCTATAATTTAAATAATTATTTAACTTTTTATTTTAATCCTCCTTTAATATCTTTAAACTTTAATAATAGTTAGGTTTATTAAAGTAATAGATCTTTATTTACTTTATATAATCGATTTATATAAAAGAGGTTAATTATCTTTATTAATTTTAAAAGGTTTAATATATAGCTATATTCTTTTTTTTTCGAATATTTTAAAGGGTTTAACCTATTAGAAATTTAATTTAATAATTAAGCTATTAATTATAAAGCCCTTCTTTTTTAAAAAGACCTTATTTCCTATACGGAAGTCTATTAGGCATTACTTTTTATTTACCTATACTTTTTATTTCTTTTATATAGCTTTTACTACTTTATAAATTACTTTTTATACCTTATAAGTTTATTATACCAATTATTAAGCCAGCTTTTTAAATGCTATCTTTTTAATAATATTTATTAAAGGTAATAATAAAGGGTTCTTTATATTAATTCTTATTAAAACCTTTAATAATACTATATTAATAGTTAAATATTAAAAGGCATTATATATAAAATTTAATATAGGTAAATAAAAGCTTTAATTATTTTAATATTTATTAATATAAAAGTATAATTATTAATTTAGCTTTTAATTTATAAACTTTATAACTTTTTACATTTAAGGGTAAAGGGCACTTCTATATTAATATTTAATATAGGTTAACTTATTAATTTTTATTAAAGAATATAAAATAAAAGGTCCTACATTATTTAAAATCTATACCTTTAGGAAACCTAAAAAATAATAGGTATATTTATAATATTTATATATTATATTTTCCATTATATCATTTTTTATTAAGTATTATAATTAATAAATAGTTAAATTTATTAATAAATGCTTATATATAATTATAGCTATATTTATTTAAAGGTATATCCTTCCTATTAATTATAATATAATATTAAATAGCTATAAGGATTAATAATAGGTATAATAATTTAAATATTTTATCTTAAGGAACTTTATTCCGTTAATAATTATAATAATTATAAATATATATTTAAATATTTTATTTTAATAAAGGTTAATAATAATCCTATTTAATTGTTTTAATATATTTATTTTACCTGGGGTAAATAGCAATTATTAAATAGTAAACTTCCTTAATTAAAATTATTTAAAAATAAATTTTTAAATTAAAGGTTTGCTTTAAAATAATTAACCAATAATCTTTATATCCTAAACCTTATTTTTCGTTTTTCCGTTAAATTAAGTCCATTAAGTTAAAGCTATATAATACTATTACCTCCTTTTCTATAACTATTATTAGTCCTTTTAAAGCTTTAAATAAAATTAAGGTTATATTTTATTCTTTAGCTTTATAGGCTTTAATAGTTAATAGATTAATTATTTTATAAAATAATATATTAATTATTATATTTTTTTAATTAAGCTAATATTAAAAAGTAATATTAAAGTTAAATAAAAAGTTTACCTATTTTACTTATTTTATAAAAAGGATTCTTTTAATAGTAAAATATAATAAGGCTTAATAATTAATTATTATAAAAAACTTTATATTTAATAGCTTTAAATAATTATACTTTATAATTTAAATTATAACTAATAGTTCTTTATTTTATATAGGATAAGCTTATTTAATTAATAATATAGTTTTCGAAAAGTACTTTATAGGCTTTTAAGTATTATTTTTTTATTGCTATTAAATAGCTTTATTAGTAATATTTTAAAAAGCATTAATTTTAATTTTAATAGGTTAGTTAAACTGGAAGAAAGTTAATACTAATGCTTTATAGGTTAATTTCTTTATTAATTTAAAAGCTTTTTATTATTTATTACTTATTTTAAATAATATACCTTTTTTAAATAAATGGTTTAAAGGTTTTACTATATTATTAATATAATATATAAATATTTAAATAAAGTTATATAGTTTTAAAAACGAACGAATAGCTTAAGTATTAATTAAATCTTTAAAATTTTAATTAATAATAGTATTTATCTTTTTAAGGTTTATTTAAACACCTTATTTAACCTTTAAAATTATACTTAAGTAATTTATAAAGGTTATATTAAAGTAAGATTTTTTTATATTTTGTTAAAGCTTAATATTATAAAAGCGGTATATTATCTTTTTATATTATTCTTAATATTCTTTTTTATTATTTATAAATATTAAAATATTATTAATATAAATATTAATAAAAAGGTTAAATAGTTTATATAGTTAGGTATTAATAAAGTTTTACCATTAGGTAAAGCTAATTTTTAATCCAAAGGGTAAGATTAACTATTAAAATATTCCTTATTAAATCCGGAATGCTATTAAATATTAGGATTTTAAAGCTATTTTTAATTTATAAAAAACTTTAATAATATTAAGCTTAATATAACGTTTAGCCCTTTAGTTATTATATATAATATCATTTAAATCTAATATTAAAATAATATAATCCTTTAGGTATTTATTTTTTTATTAATAATTAATGTAAAATTATTTTTTAGTTAAATTTAGTTT